TTTTTTTTTTTTTTTTTTTTTGGTCCCGGGGATTAAACTCAGGCCGTTGCATTTGTAAGGCAGGTGGCAGAACCACTGAGCCAAATCCCTGGCCCAGGAATCCCATCTTACAGACAAGGAAGCAAGCTGGAGTTGTCCCTTCCCTGCCAGGACAGGGACAGTATGGGAGCCACCTGGCCAGGGCCTCAGGCGCAGCAGGCCTCCCCCTGCTCAGGTAGGAGCTTGGTATTGTGTGGTGTATACAGTGAGTCTCGTTTCCAGGAATAAGGACTTCCAGGAGGTGACCCTGGAGAGGGAGGGACAGGTGCTGCTGCACTTCGCTGTGGCCTATGGCTTCCGGAATATCCAGAACCTGGTACAGAAGCTCAAGCGGGGCCGCTGCCCCTATCACTATGTGGAGGTCATGGCCTGCCCTTCAGGTAGGTCCTCTCAGGCTACTAGGACCATGGGGGTAGTGATCTGCCAGTGGGGTTTGGAGGTAGAGTAGTGGGAAGGGGTGTGTGCTGGGACACCTGCCTTGCATCCTCCTAACACTATGTCAATAACATCTTCTCTGCCACAGGCTGCCTGAACGGTGGAGGTCAGCTCAAGGCCCACGATGTACCAGGCAGGGAGCTTCTACAGCAGGTGGAGAGACTGTACAGCATGATCAGGGTAGAGGCACCTGAGGATGCCCCTGGGGTCCGGGAGCTGTACCAACACTGGCTGCAGGGTGAGGGCTCAGAGAGGGCTAGCTCTCTGCTGCATACACAGTACCATGCTGTAGAGAAGGCCAGCTCGGGCCTCAGTATCCGGTGGTAGGAGGCTGGGGGCCTGCTGGAGCTCACAGGACCAGCACTAGGAGTCCCACAAAGGCCAAGCAGAGCGTAGACACCAGGGCTCTCCCCAGACTTTGAGATGGGCCCTAGGGACTGAAACAGGACACTGGCTATGTCCAGGACCCAGCCAGTGCTGACCTGCATGCCTCCAGACTCTGCCCTGGCCTTGCCAGGTGGGGGTGAAGTGGCCGAGGAGGCCGAACGTCCTCTAGAGTCCTGGAGACTCAGCCAGGTCTGTGAGCGCCATCCTTCCCCTTCCTGACTGTGGGTGACAGGGCTGACCTGCTGAGTAGGTCCAACAACAGCCCTGCAGAGGGACTGCCTGGCAGGAGGGGGAGCCTGGGGCCCTGCCAGTGTGCTGTCTGTTACGAAGCTGCGCACCTAGGACAGGACCCCATGTCTGGGGTAAGCGCGGTACCTCAATGCTGGGTCCCCAGGCCTGTGTCCTACCAAGCTTCACCTTTAATAAAGGGGCGCGCCCAACAACTGTGGAGACAGCTGGCTTTTCGGAGTATCTGCAGCCCCGAGGAAGGCCTTTCGGAGCTTTATTCAGGGTTCAAAGTCCCGGGTAACTCCTTCTCAGGCCCATGAAGCCCCACAGAGATCTTGCCTGTACCCCCATAAACGACAGATGGAGGGCACCCCTTGCTGCTCCTCCCAGACTGGGCGGCCGGCTGGGCAGGACTTTAGGCGTGTTCGAGAAGCCATCCTTAAGTGGGTCCAGTCCACCAGAGTGGCACGAGGCAAGCAGGCTCCCTTTGCGGCTCATTTCTGCCCAGGTTCACCTAGGAGCCCCCACTGCAGTGCAAGGAGAGCCCGCGCCTGAGGTTGCAGTGGCTCAGCAGCACGCTGGAAGGCTGCTCGCTCCCCACAGAGCACCGGCAGGACCTCAGCAGGTGCTGTGCGGCCTGTGAACTCCTGCACCGGCTCCTCTCTGGGGGGAGGGGAGGGTCACACTGGTGGGGGGGCCACTGGTCTGGCCCACGACCTATGAGGATGGAGGTGGGGATGGGCAGGGCAGCAAATGATGGGAAAGCACTTAACAGGGCTTCCCTGGTGCCAGACACACTTGGCCCAATAAATAATCTCTGGGCTCCATTCTAACTATTGAAATGACTGTCCACGAGGCAAGGCCCCCAGGCAGCCCTTGTCAGCTAACTCCACGGGGAGCCCCCAGGCCCAAGTCTGCCCCAGGGATACTGGCTGGACTCCCCACCTCCACCACCAGAAAGCCCAGAAAGGGGCTATACTCACCCTACCCTCAGGAAGGGACTGTAAAGGAACTCCTCTCCCAAGGTTGAGGGTACAGTGGGCATGTCATCCTCATCCCTTCTCTGTAATGACCACAGGCCCTTGTCACAACTAGACTTTCTGACAGTCCAAGCTGCTTGGATCGGGTCACGGGGAGCCACAGCAGAACACATCAGCTTTTCCCTGAAGTTGGTCATGCTGACTTGGGTTGTCTGTAAGTCCCTACACCCAAACTCCACGAGGATGCTGCCTCTCCTTCCCCCGCTCAACTGCCCTCCCACCAGTGGGTAAGGAGTGGCCTACCTGGGCCCAGGACAGCTTGGCTCACACATGGTCGCTGCAGGGTTCCACTTTATGTGCAAACTCAAGGTTGCTTAGTGTATGCTCGTGACCACAGAATACCTTCTGGAAGAGGAGAGTGCTCAGTGGGTGCCCGGTGCTGGCCCAAGTAGAGGCCGGAGAAGGTACTCAGATCTCTGGTCTGGGGCAGGGCAGTACAGAGCATTTGGGTCATTCCAGAGGAAGCACAGGACTAGGCAGGGTCTGGACCCACAGGGAGCTCACGCACCTCACGTCTCGGGGGAGAGGGTGCCCAGGGTCCCAGTCAGGCTCTGATACATTTGCTGAGCGCTGCCCTCCAGGTGCCAGCCGCAGCCAGCCACTGACAGCGCGTCTCCTGGAGGAGCAGGGTAGGCCAGAGCACTGGGATGGGTGAGCCAGGAGTTGCTACACCTGAGAAGAGCGCAGGTGGGGCCGGACATTCATCCTCCCACAGAAGTAGCTCAGGTGACCAGAGGTATGGCCGGGAGTCAGCAGGCATCGGACATGCATGGCCCCGAACTGCGGCAGAGGGGAGGGGACCTGAAGGGGCTGGGCAGCTGAGGCCTTCCCAGTCCTCCTCAGCATGGCTCACCCGCAGGTCCTCGCCGTGTGCCCGCTTTCGAGTCAGTGCAGGGATGCGCTCATCTGCGCCCATCGCCACCAGCCCTGGCTGCACCTGGTCAGCTCCTCACTTCCACGGGCATGGTCCCTAGGGACGAGCAGGAGGCACCAGGTCAGGGCTGTGCAGTGTAGAAGAGTCCTACCCCTGCCCAAGCTCAGCAGTGGTGGTGGGTGGTCAGCACTGCAGCCAGAGACTCCCCTTCCCGGCTTGCAGTCTCCAGCACCTGGAAGGGATGGACCTTCAGTGGGTCCGCTGCCTCCTCCTATAACCAAGTACCAGGACCCTAATTCTGACCCAAGGTCTCATGGAGGGAGGGAGACATCTGACAATTACTGGATGCACATGTGTGGGAATACCAAAAACGGCCCCAAATTCAGGGCAGCTCCAAGAACCTTAAAGGCTAAATTAGAGACCAGAAGCTCGGGTCTGCTCCAGCTAGGATGGCCAGGAACCCATCAAAGGGGGTGTGCAGCGGTGCCCCCTGCCGCCCAGAGCTGGCCCTCACCCTCTTGGCCACGGCCACATCCACTGCCACAGCCTCCCGAGGTGCTCCTCGATGACCAGGTACATGTAGTTGTCCTCAAGCACAGGGATGACCTTGACCTTCATGGTCGCACAACTCAGCTGCCCGTTCCTCCTCCAAAAGAGGCCCCCAGCCTACTGAGGAGTACTTCTGGGCTGTGCGAGGCCCAACCAGCACACATGCGCGCGCACACCCAGGGTGAAAGCACAGCCCTGCTCCAGGAACTAACCGGACGGCTCGCCTGAAATTCACTCCAGGTTCACGCAGCCCGGCCCCTGCCACAGTGAGCCGCTTCCCCAGACTGCCCTGTGCCTTCGCCTTTTTTTTTTCCCCCAGGGTCTGTACCTAGGCCCGGTAGGTCACTCCCCTACTACAGACCTCTCGCTTCAAAGCAACACTGCCTCCCTGTGAGCCACGCCCTCAAACCGCACCGCGCAGTTTCTCTCCAGGCCACACCCTCAGTGCCAACAAGCCACGCCTCTTCCGCAGGCCCCTCCCCGCCGCTGCGGGAGGACCTTAGACTCGGGCGAGCCTATTCTCGCCCTCCCCTCCCTTGCACCTGCAAGGACAGCCTAGAAGGCATGGGACAGACTGAGGGGTAGAGGCGGAGCCTCAGGCCACGGAGCCCGAACGGAGAGCAGGGCTGTACAGTCCACTGCCCATGCCCACCTCGCCTCTGCGTGCAGCGGATCGGAACATGCGCCTGACGGACCGCGCCTGCGCCAAAGGGAGCGCGCGCCTGATGAGACGCGGAGCGCACGTTTCTACCAGGCGCCGGGACTCTGGTCAGTTTTTCCGGGAAGCCTTCAGGGCACCCGGGCTGAACCAGGCTTTCCAGGGGACCCAGTCCTCTGGCTGGGACATCTGCACCCCTTCTTTCAGGCTGAGTTGGGGAGGGCTGTACACCTTGTTTACCTGACTATCCCAGGTTCAACCAGCACCAGGAGGTGCACACAAGGCGTCTAATGACTGTGTGAATCCAGTCCACATAAGACAGGGCAGCTGGCATAGGAAAACACTAACAGCAGCATCTTTAGCTCAGCACCCTGGTTTTATTTGCATTTCCCAGGTGAGCAAATGTATCCAGGAAGGAGGGGCACCATATTTGGCAAGAGATGAGAGTTCCCCCAACCTGCCCACTACTAAACTGCCTGGCCCTATGGGCGGGCCTTGGAGTCCATAAAAACAACAAAGGCCTTGGTAACGCTGCACAGTGTGGAGCAACAACCACCAGGCAGGACAGGCCAGGGCAGGGGCAAAGCACTAGGTTTGCAAGAGGCCTGAGTTCCTGCTCTATATGGAGGGTATAGCAGCTCAAGGCCACAGGCCAGGGGCCCTCCCTCAGGCCACAGAGAATGTGAGTCTCCCCGGGACTCTTCTGCCACCCTAGGGTCAGGGGTCCTTCCTTTCCCAGAGTCCAGGAAGGGAAGGGTGCAGGTCCCTGATTCCTGGGTCTGATTCTGGCCAAAGAAAGGGTTGCCTCAGCTTGGCAGGGCTGGAGACTCTTGTGAGAGTGGGTTCCACGGCTCAGACCTGGGACACCCTCTGGGCAGTGTGGTGGTGCCTCCCCAGGTTGAACCACACGTCAAGGACTGGCTGCCAGCAAAGCCCTGCTCCCTGCTCCCTGAGGGTGCTCCAGCCAGGGCCACCAATCTAGAGACAGAGTTCCTGTCAGATCTGGAACTGAGTGAGGAGCAGCGGCTACAGGTGAGTTTGGGACCCCCAGGGTGCTGGCCGGATTGGTTACCCACAGGGTCCCATAGGCAGCACTCACCCTGGCTACACACAGATCTCCAAGGAGCTGGTTGACCTCCAGATCACAACCCATCGCCTGCAGGAGCAGCACGAAGCTGAAGTTTTCGAGCTGAAGAAGGAGGTGAGCAGCTGTGAGAGCCCACAGGTGTAAGCCTGAGCGCACAGGATATATACTAGGGCAAGTGCTACAGGAGTCCAGGTGCATAGGGTGCACACACAAGCAAGCACGTGTGCTCTGTCCCTCGGTGTGCCCAGATAATATTTACCTGTTTCAGGTGGCCCCATAGACAGGTGTACCTGTTCACCAGAGTTGCCCACAGGTCCTTCACCTAGAGAGCCGGGTACTAGAGCTGGAGCTGCATGGAGGTCGTGCTGGGCCAGGGCGCACAGCCCCAGTGGAGGCCAACCCAGCTCACCACCAGGCACTGGCACAAGAGTTCACTCGGGAAGCCAAGGCACCTGGATACACTGATCACCACAGGCTCCAGGTTACCATGAACAGAGTTGAGCTGGCTGGGCGGGTGGGACCCTCCACAGGGCACAGTGAGATGGAACCTGTGTGCCTACTCCTCAGCAGTCCCTGGCCTCTAGTTCAAGGGCATGCTGACCCCTGAGCCTGAGCGGTTGAAGCCAGAAGCAATCTGAGCGGGCAGCCACCTACCTCGGGGGACCGCCTGGGGTTCTCCCAACCTGTGGTTATGATGGGGGCCATACAGGGATCTGGGAACGGGGGGCTCTTGCATCCAGCCCTTGTGCACCTCACAGCTGCTGGGAGGCTGGGAGCAGCTGCAGGGAGAAGTGAAGCAGGTGCTGCAGCATCACAAGGCCCAGCAGCAGGCACTAGAGACACGGATGTGAGTGGTTTCTTCACCTGGGACTGGGAGAGCCCAGCAGAGTACTGCTCAGAGCAGCATTCCCAAGGGGCTGGGGGAGGCCCTCACCCTGCTGTGGCTGACCTCACACTTTGTCAGCAGGGCAGCCCTGGGCCAGCAGCTGCAGGGAGCCCGAGAGGATGCCAGGGCAGCCAGGCAGAGATTGGCTGCACAAGCTGTGGTGAGGCCCTTCCCCATCCTGCAAGCTTTAAGATCCACAGGTGGGGGCCCTTACAAGTTCGGCAGAAGTCCTTTCTCCACCCCAGGTGCTGTCCACCTGCCAGGGCCACCTCCGCCAAACTGAGGCTGAGAATGCCCAGCTGCAGCTGCAGCTGAAGAAGTTAAATAAAGAGTATGCCATCCGGCTGCGGCACTGTGCCCAAGAGGTGGTGGTAAGCACCTAGCCCTAGGCCCTGACCCTGGGATGGATGAGCTGAGGCCTCTGAGTCCTGGGGAACCCAAGCCTCCTAGACAGCTTCAGGGGACCCCAAGGGTCTGGGGTTAGGGCTAACCAAGCCCTGCCCTGCCCAGCTCCGGCACACCTCACCTCCTCCAGAAATATGCCAATGGTGCAGGCCAAGCAGCCCTTCAGAAGTTCCTGGAGACCACTCTGGAGAACATCCAGGCAGCACACCACAGCCGTGAGCAACAGCTGGCACAGGCTGCTCGGTCCTACCGCAAGCGCCTGGCAGATCTAAGCTGTAGGCATGAGAAGCTGCTTGTCACTTGCAGGTGGGTCCTGCCCTGACCTGGGTACCTGGGGTGGGATGGCACTGTGTGACCCATAGTGTGGCTTAGTATGCAGCAGGAGCAGCCCCAGGCACTGGTGGACCCCAAAAGGGCACCTGGAACCCTCAAGGCTAACTTTGCTGCAGCTACTGACTTGGAGTCACTGGCCACTGAGCTCAGTCACCTGCAGGCAGATGAGGTGAGGCTGGAAATCCATTTCCAGAAACTCCAGGCTCCCTTTCTGCTACGCTACACCGCGTTGGGGTGCAGAGCCCCAGAGCTCACCACAGACCTATCTCAAGCTCATCAAAGCCCAGCCCCAGGACCTCTGAGCAGCCTGCCCTGCTCAGCCAACTGAAGAATCCCTATCTCAAACCTTTGCAGCACAGCAAGTTTGGAACGCTGCTTTTGTACCCCCAGAAGGGACCTGGTGAAGCCTCCCAGGGGAGTGCAGCAGAGCCACAGTGAGTGCCCTCACTTGGGTTTGGGGAAGGTAGATCCAGAAGAGGAAAAGCAGAGAGCAAAACACCAGAGCCCCACACCATTCATTCATTCCAGAAACCCTTCCTGCCAGGTGGGGCTCTTCACTGCAGTAAACCAAATGGGCTGTCCCTGGCTTGGGATCTCTGGGTTTATGTGGGGGACACTGATAATCACAGAAAAATGAAATAGCCGCTATGTAAGAGTCTAGTCGGTAAAGGGGGCGCTTGCCAGAAGAGGGGTCAACCTTGAATGGGGAGGGCCAGGATAGCCCACTGAGGAAGGGCCATTTTAGCTAAGACCTGGGGTACCCAAGATAAAGGGAGGGTGGGAGCTGGCTGCCTGTGACATGGCTAGTTCTTGCCTCTGAGTCTCCACCTCTCCACTGTACAGTGGGCAGAGGTCTCAAGGGAGTACCTTCCACGGTTTAGGGAAACAAACACCTAGTGTGTGTTTGTGGGTAGCATCTCTGTAGACTGGGGCTGTTTGAGCCAGCCAGCAGGCCCTCCACACACAGATGTTCCAGGGCCCGGGTAGGGCTGGCCCAAACTCAAGCAGCTACTACACCAGCCCTCGAGACTGCCTCTTCTCCTTCACAGGGGTCCAAATAATGTATCCTGGGTCCAGATCTGCCAGAAGCTCCAAGATTTCTCCAAAGGCACCCAGGTAGTGGGCAAGGCCTGATGGGTGTCCTCATCACACTCTGCCCTGGCTCATGGCTCATGCTCCCTACCAGAGAGAGCTGGAACATGAACGGGCTCAGCTGTTGGTCAGGGCCTCTGAGGCTGAAGAGCGGCTTTCTGAGCTTCAGGAGTATGTGGACCAGCACCTTGGCAGGTTGGCTGAGTCACCCAATGGCCCTGACGTGGGTGGGAGTGAATCCCTGGCTAGGTAGGTGACTTCAGCTGGGCCTTCCGAGCAGGTACAAGCAAGAAATCCTGAGGCTGAGGAAGCTGGTGGGTGCAGGGGACCCCTGGAAAGTGGAGGCCCCAACTGCAGCCAAGCCCCAGCATTCAACGACCCACAGCCGGTAAGCCACGGGCCTTCTGAAGAGACCCCTGCACAGCCAGCATAGAGCCCTCTCCAAACCCCAGCCTCACCTAGTGGAGTTATCCCTCCCCCCACCTCTCTGTGAAAGAAATCAGCATGAGACCCATGGAATCTTTATTGTGTCCAGTCAGCTAGCTTGGGAAATGGGGGCCTTAAGAATTGAGGTAGAACCAGATTCTGGGGTGGCTTGGACAGGTACCTCCCAAGGAGACAGAGATGGACCATCACCATGGATGTCATAAGCCCAGACTCGGTCAAAGCCTTCACCCACCACAGCCACAGGCTGCCAGGTGGGGAGGGGAAAACGCCCAGACGCCACACGGGCCCCTGTGGGTAGCTCGGCTCGCAGCTTATCCTCCAGGAATGGGAGCTGTTGGAGAAAGCAGTGGAGAAGTGGCTGCAGCCCTCACCCCTTGGAAATACCCAGTTGTGGCCCAGTCTTCCAGTAGGGCAGGTGACCCCAGACCTACCACACTGGGGGCCAGGAATACAGACACGTTGTAGCAGTCCCTCAGGCTAACCTGTGGGAGAAGGCAGTCAGTCACCTCACAGAGGAAGAGGGCTGATGGGCAGGAAGTCCTTGCCGTTTCTGAGCTCTGACCTACAACCCACCCTGCTGGCAGAAGCACCTGGGGCTGTCAGCAGGTGGCCAAGCTAAAAGACAAGGCTTGGAGACTAAGTGTGGGATCTGAGGGGTTTCGGTTACCTTCCAAAGATCCTCCCTGAGATAGCAGACACTGTGCAAGCATCCAGCCCTCCAGGCATGCAGCCGAGCTAGCCCCACAAGCCAGGGGTTCAACTCGTACCCTACAGCAGGACGGAGACCACACCTGTGGGCTGCCAGCACCTGCAGGAACCAAAGTGGGAACCGGGACGTGAGAGGGGACAGACATAGACAACAGACACACAGGGCCGGGGACTTAGCTCAGTGGTTCCGCTGCCTGCCTCCCAAGCGCAGTCTCGAGTTTCATCTCCGGGACCAAAAAGAAAAAGAAAAACAAAACAAAACACTCGCACACGCTGGCCTTACAATTCTGCCGTCGCCAGAACCCAGATCCACCGTTTTTCCGCGGCGGCCTCGCAGCAACGACAGCACATGCTCAACTTGCCGGGCGCTCGCGCCTATGTAGGGCACCTGGACAAGAAAGTGGGCGGGCTGAGGTCAGAGCCCTTGTGCCGCTCGAGACCCTAGCAAGTCCTCCCCGAATTACTGGGGAGTACGGGACTTGCCTCCTGGGCATCCAGGTTCCAGCGTGCCACACACCAGCTACCGACCCACTACGAGCTCACTGACCTCGCATCCGGGGTCCCGCGCCCGTGCGCGCCCCGCCCGCAGACTCAGTTACGGCCCGCGGTTCACACCGCTT